TTAAAGTAATTCATTTTTTCTATTTTTGCTGTTGTGCTGTTTTGCTGTTTTTCTCTTTTTGTTGCAGTTTACAATGCAAGTAATATCGTTAAATACCTTATGTCTGGCAACAGATAACGCATTTAACGATCAATACTCTGACAGCTTGACAACTGCAAATGGCTAAAAAATGGCGTGAGCTGGCGCTCAAAGTTGTCAATTCAACACCGTTAGCAATGGGGAAGTCAGCCCCAAAGCCAACTAACTAACTAACTAAGCAGTCAGCCAAGTCAGCCAGCTAGCTAACAAACTTGCGCCAGGGAATGTTGCCCCAGCCAACGGCAATTGAATCCAGTTCGTGTGCATGCAAAAAAAAAAAAAAGTAAAGAAAAACAAAAAACTATTTACCCCAAGGGGGAGTAGTGGCGCCCAATGGGAGGAGGAAGGCGAGGGGTGGGGGTGGGGTGCTTAAACTATCGATCGATACATAGCAACAGTTGTGTTGCATAAATAGACCACGCCCACATGCGACAGCGGGCTAACTGGCTAACTGGCTAACTGACCAGCCGAACATGAACGGTCTCATTTGTATATGGGCAGAAGTAGATGTGTGTGTGCATTTGTGTGTATGTTGTGCTCTGCATTGGTCAATGAATTGAGTAAATAAGTTCGCGTTCACTCGAGCACAGCAGCGCTATATGGCGCTCTCTTTTCAGCCAATGCTCAGCAGGCAGCGCAGCTGCTCTTTATATTTATAGACCGACAAGGCGAGCAAGCGATCGTGCCGTCTCTTCTGCCTCAGCGCACTGCACTGTGTGAGTGTGTGTGTGTGCGCGTGTGTGCTGCTATACTGGTTTATAACCAGGTGCTCCGATTGTGTTAATCGAGCCAATCAAATGTCGTAACGCTTGCCTAGCGCAGAGAGCAGCAGCAGCCGAGAGAGAGAGAGAGAGAGTCAAATACAAAATGGAGTGAGAGCGAGTGCGCACATGAGCAACGCAGCCGAATATTGTGAGTGAGTGTAAGGCTTAACAGTGCGCTGTTAAGTGCTAAAGTCACTCAAAGCCAGCTTGATCGCTCTCTGGCTCTCTTTGGCTCTCTCGAGCGTTTGCTCTTCCAGCGAGCACCGTTAGAGAGCGCTTGCTTGCTTGCGTCTTCTTCTTTGCATTGTTTGTCTTTTGATGAGACAACCAGTTTGTAGTTTTTGTTTATAGCAGTAGCTTCTTCACATTGTTGTTGTTGTTTCTGTTTTTGCTGTTGCTGTTGCTGCTGCTGCCGCTGCCGAAGCCGAAGCCTGACTGTCGTTGACTACTTCGTTGATTGCAAAGCATCTCGTGAGCATTTTGCAGAGGCCTCCCCAGTCAGCACAAGCAGCAGCACAAGCAGCAGCAGCAGCAGCAGCCGTTAGCAGCAGCTCTCGCTACCAGGTGCGCTTCGGCATTTTTGTAGTCGGAGCATTTTTGCAGAACTGTTTAACATCAGTCTTTAGTGATAGCTCGCGCTTCTTGCTCGCACGCTCGATCGCATGTCGCATGTCGCACGCTCGCTGCTCGCTGCTCGTCGTCGGCTTAACGTTAACGTTAACGTGCGTTCTTCTTTATCGATGCTCGATTGCTATTTATCGTTGATCTGTTATCGCTTAACGGTTGACTCATGCAAATCTGCCCAGTGAGTGACCCAATAACAGTTATAAAGTGCCGTCCAGTGATTTACTTCTCACACCTTAAACACACACATACACACAAGAGAAGAAAGAGGGAGAGAAAAAGAGAGAGGGAGAGAGAGAGCGAGAGGGCAACACATGATAGGCAATTACAAAAACCAAAAAGAAACAGAGGCGCGCGCTTGTTCGCCATTTGCCCAGCTCGTGTCCAAGTGCCTTTTCACCAAATAAAGGTGTGGCCTACAACAACTGAACACAAATCAAATATAACTCATCTTACAGCTATGTTCTATATTAATTAGACGGCAGCAAATTGAAAAGTTACACACACACACACACACACAATGTGTGTTGTATGCGCACACAAATCCAGAGAGCGTAACGACGAGCGCGTGTTTTAGAGTTAAGATCTTGATATATACATATATATATATATACACATACATATATATATGTGCTCGTATATATCTATTAAGCTGAGCTTCACGCTCGTCTAAAGTTCTAAAAGTCAAGTGCAATTTAGTAACGACAAACAACAACGACTACAACAATTGCTTAACTGATCTACGCTCAAGTGACGTTTTATTGGCGCAAGGTGAAAAAGTAATAATAATAGAAATAAACGAGCGAGGAGGAGAGTTCACAATGTGCACACCTAGTACACAACTTAAATCATATCTTTCGTTCGATATTCGCCGCAACGCAAAAAAAATCTTTAGTAAAATAACAACAACAAACTGCTTTTTAGTGCACTATTAAAAATTTGTAGCTGAAGTACGTGAAAAAAATCAAATAAAAACGAGAACAACAACAATAACAACAACATCAACTACAAACTCAACAGGAAAAGATCGGATCGTAACGGAATTTATTCAAATTGGGATTAAGAAAACTGTCCGAAGTCAACTTCATTTTGCGGACAGTTCAAAGGCGCATTATATATATATATATATATATATATATATATATATTCTTTTTTGTTGATAAGGTATGATGTTATTTTTTCTTTAGCCTATTGTAATTTTTATGACGACGCTAAATAGAACTTGAAATGTGGGCACCATTCATATTTTGCCAGGCGAGTCGGTCAGCTAGAAAAAAAATATTAATAGCTCAAGAAAACGAAAGAGAATAAAAAAATAAAAGCTACTATCAGCTATTAACATAACCATAACACACGAGTAGCCAGAAGACGAGTTGAAGAGTCGCAGCCTGGCTATAGCTTTTGATTGGAAGATTGATGGGGCACAGAGATACAAATCGAACGTACTCATCCAAATATTGAGATACATTCATCAGGCCTACATCCAAAAGATGGCATGGCATTAAAATCAAACATGTGAATTTCATTAACGCACAGAATCAGTAAACAAAAATACGAGACCCACAAGGAAGATAAAGCACAACAGAACTTGACAACCTGACTGAATGACTGATTAACTGATGGATGGAGTGACGATTGACGATTGGTATACGCAACTCTGTGAGAAAGTTTTCAGTTTTGTTACCCAGTGCACTTTTTAGTGTGGCCATAAAATCAGCAACCAACAAAAACTGACAACGGCAAGGGCAGGCAAATAAACTTTACGACTATATAACAGAATCAATGTAAGCCAAAGCCCATACACTGAACGAAACTGAATGCAAAGTGACTAACAGAAATATGTGAAGAGATCATTGCATTTCTGACAAAATTTCTATTCTTAAGTTGTGAAAAGCTCTGGCTAAAAACTTAATCTTTCTTTGTGACTTCTTCACGAAATAATTTTTGTAATTTAAAGACAAGCTCTCAAAGATTTATTTTACTTCTCTTAGCTTCTCAATCAACTAATAATTTGGCATCTTTACTTATTTATATTTGATTTTTAGCTGTGTAGGCGCGTACATGTTTGCTTTATAATGTAAATATCGTGTAAAGCTTTATTTGCTTGAATTTGTTACAAAAACCTTCGAACTATCGACTAGCCCACAATTGTAATCAAAGACGATGACTTGGATGCTTGCTTGCATGTGTCGCAAATATTGACAATTGCCCCACAGTCATTACAAATGACTTTGTAGTCTTCTATAGTGTGTTCTACAAAACATGCACTTAAAATGCTCATTAATTAAAGTACCGTGGGCATATTAGCTCAGTTCGAAGTAAGTTCTATAAAGACATCAGAAAGTGAAAAAGAGCTCTGATAAGAATCGTTGGAATAAATGTGGAGTTTGGTTGAATCACATAGCATACTTTTTAGAGAGTTCCCAAAAGTTACGAGATAAGAGAGGAAGATAACGAAGCTATCATCTTAATATATAAAAAATTATATTGATCCGTACAAGCAAATAATTATAATTTTAAATTTGATAGGAGAAATAAATTGATGTATATTCAAGTAATTTAATCTTTTTTCCTAGACAAATGTGCACCCGGAATGTTTAATATTGACTGACCGTTTTTATAAAACATGTGTTATTTCTAATGTATCTACAGATATAGATAGCATATATATAGTAAACACATTTAAAAAATATTAGTCTAAAATAGTTGCATACATTTCAAAGATTTCACACCTGCGTAACCAAATATTCCCAAGGATTATTTTATAAAGGGTATCTTTAAGTATTGAACAACAAAATCTGAAGTAATATTCGACTTGTAGTTCGCCTCAAATTCGATAGATTTTGTTGGGCGCAGTAGTAACAAGTTCGTTGCCTAAGTCTTCCGATTACTAGCAAGCTTCTTAGTAAATCACAAGAATAGAGAAGTATTGTTGGCCAGGTGTTTGGTTTGGCTGGATGCTGCACGACAAATTAACACATCAAGGTCATTGCTGTTTGTTGCAATCGTTGTTATTGTGACACTGTAACTGCAACAAGCTACAGATGCAACAGCATCCTTATGAGGGCAAGCCGGAAGACAACAATTGCCACATCCTATTACACTCGACTTGCACTTGAGGCGGTAGTTGGGGTAGACAAAGTGTGAAAGTATTTAGTACAAATACGTTAACTTGTGCACATACTAAATGCAAATGTGGCAAGAGCAACAACATGCAAACACCTGTTGCCCCAGTCAAGAGATGTAACCAGGACCGCCAACTGACTGACTCACTGACTCAGAGTCTTCGCTGACCATCACCAGCGCAGTCTTCGAGTTCAATTTCGAGCTGTCCGAGTCTGTACAATTACAATTACAATTAACAATTACAGCAAATAAGCAGTCGATCAGTCGAGCTTTTGCACTTATATGTCTTCTGTGTATTATAATAAATGTTGAAGCTATGCTTATTACATGGCGTATCTATAAGCTACTGCCTCAACTATCAAGAATCCAATTTACCTATGTTTATTTGTATATTTTCCTCTATTGCAGCACGCATACACACTTTGGGAGCACAACAGCTCAACATATAGGCATCTGCAATGATGAATCAGGATAATCCATATGCGGTAAGTTAAGCTCCAAAGCCGAGGCAAAGCATATAATTTATACGGAATTTATAACAAGTCTGGTTGCCTGGCTGTAAGCTCAACCGTAAAATGTCGCATATTTTAACACAAAAAGCAAAACGCATGATAAATGCAGAGCGGCAAGCGAACAAAAGCAACACGAAGAAAACAAAAACAAATAAACAAAAAACCAAAAAACAAAAAAAAGACAACTTATCAGCATTGTGACGAAGTTTAAATACCCTATTCACCAAATTAAATCTGTATAAATTAGCAAGCAAATCTTAAGCCTAATACCTGATTCTAGCTAAAAGTAGCTAACTTTATAAGAAAACAAGATTATGTAAACAACAACTTTATTTATTATTTTTTATTTGATTTATTATATTATATGGAGAAGCGACAGTTTCGATCGATCATTGTAGAAAAAAATAATCCGTTTAAGATCCGACAGATGTATTGATTGTCTATACCCTGTAGCAGGGTATACTTTTAAATTTATTTACGAGCTAAATGATATAAAATCAGATAACAACGTTTTTATGGGGCTCACAGCTCCAAAAATGCATATTATGGCAAATGAAATGCTAAGTTAATTTGGATTATTTCGCGTGCCTTTGATAACGATTAAAAAAAAAAAAACAGCCATTTTTTTTAATATCATTGATAAGAAACGGCAATGGAAAATTCGAAATCGAAAAATCGAAAACGAAATCAAAAGCGCTTCCGCATCTCGCAATTGGGCGCACAAATTTATGAATTATGAGCTTTTGGAAGCCCGTGCATAATTACCCAACATTTATGGAGGGAGAGAAAAATTCATAATAATAAAAAACAAATCATAAGACAGAAAAAAAAAACAGTGGCTTAAACCAGTTTATACAACAACTTGAGGCGAAAATATTTAAATGATGTCATAATTTTTAGAAAAGAAAAAAAACATACTAAATAAATATAATAATCATAATACACACTACACAAACACACACACACACCAACAAACTCCTCAATGCTGTTCGATCTTCATAAACGGCAGCTGCGATCGCTTCACCTGTTTTATATATAAAAAATTTTTGTTTTTTTTTTTGGACTTCATGTCAACTTAAATTAATGCAGATCAATTAGTTAATATTATTAAGCGTCTCGAATGCCAAAAACTGCGTATTTTAAATAGATTTCTATACAGAAATTTCGAATGGGTTCAAACAACGTAAGTTGTTGCTAACATGGCACTAAATGTCAATATTTGAATATTAAATTTTATTTAAGTGCGTTTTTTATTATCTTAAGCCGATTTTCGAATACTACAAAAACCGTCGACGGCAGTAACAGCAACAGCAACGGCCCCCTAGAAATGAGGTTGCCAAAAGAGGCGGGTCCGTCCTAGTGTTAATTAGTTGAAATGTGAGACGATAAACTAAATGCTTGATTCAAAATTAAGGCAATAACAAGAAGAGAAACAAATTAGTGGTTTTTGACTTTGAGATTTGCTCTTTACCCAAAGATTAGTCTGATTTCAGTAATTTGAACAACAAAACAAACTGTGATTATTATTTATGAGACAAATTGAGCGGAAACACTAAAGCTCAACTGGCATTATGCAGAGTTATATAAAAATGAAATCAGCATAAGAGCGATAGATAATTGATCTGAAAGATTCGAATGCATCATATATCTGACAGTCTCATTCTCGTTTTAGCTGATTCCAATTATTGTTCTAACAGCTGCATATATCATACAGAACCCTTCATTGATTCTCCTCAATAGTGTAAAGCTTAACTATTATTCAGATGTACTTGCAGCTACTTGAAGTAAGCTTGCCATAAAAAACAACAGACTCTAAAATATCATTAGTATAATCTGTAATTAGCTAGAATGAAGTTGTTGTGGCAACTGTTTTAATTCGTTTGAAGCATCTTAAGCTTCGTTTTAATTGCTAACACAACTTTGTTGGCTAAATCGTATCTAGTATTGTGCATGTGGACTCTAATTTTGTTGCTAATCAAATGTATAGATGTAAACTGTTACGCCCTCTACAGTTTGCCGTATGGACAAACAAAAGACTTCAGCAACGAACTGAACAACCGGTGAAAATCAACTGAAAATTCATATTGACCGGCACAGAGAAACGCATTACAATGTTGAGTTATGTGTGCTTGAGTGTGTGAAGCTGCCTGAGGCATGGTCCAAACTGGACAGACAGACAGATGACTTGGAATTGACTTGGTGGCTTACAGTCAAATGCACTTCGACTCCGTCGCATTCATCTGCAACTCCATTTGCAGCTCTAACTTTGGTATCTTTTCTATTTGCATTTGCAACTTGCTGCTGTTGCTGCTGCTACTCTTGCTGCTCTTGCTGCTCCTGCTGCTGTTACTGACCATTTTGGTCATAAACATTTGCGTAATGGATTTTTTCATATTTTGTTGGCTGCTGCGAACACACAAAGTAAATTAATTACGAGCTGCTTGGCTCGGTCAGCATATGTGCACGTTCGGAAAATTCTCGCACAAAAAAAAAAGAAGATTATAAATGCCTAAAAATAAATAAGCCAAAGCCATGGCTAGCTAAGCATGGCCGAAATGCAAAAAACAGAAGCACACTCAGCAAATTAGCAAAAGCCCAAAAAGCATTTACCGCGCTCCAAACACACAAAATGTAATTACAGCAACTAACAGCGGCAGCAGCGGCAGTATTGTTGTAAATGCTGTTTGAGTTGTTTGTGTTGCTTGTTGTTGTTGTTGTTGCCTGCGATTTTTGTTGGTTTGTGGTTGTAGCCATAGCCGGTTGCAATTTTTCACATGCGTAGCCAGTTTTCTGAGGAGCTGTAAAAGTTGTTCCGTCTTATGTTGTTGTTGTTTCTGCTGCTGCTGTTGTTGCTGTTGTTGCTGTTGTGCGACTCCTTGTTGGAATTTTTACTCGTGTGGTGTACATGTTGCGGTTGATAACTCAATTAGAATGTTAAATTTATGTTCGCCACAAGAAATTAACTTGCAATTAGAAAATGCTTGTTACAAAACGAAAGACTTAGGACACGAACTTGATATGCTAAACAAAAACAAAAAATGGACAGTAATTAAGTTACAGCGCGCATGAGGCCGCGGAAATAAATTGAAATAATTAAACAAGTGGACGGAAACGGGCTAAGACAGACAGACAATTGCTGGTCAAGCTGATGATTTGTCTTGCATAATTGGCCAGACAAGTTAAAGGGCAGCAACCAAGTCGACTTTGCCTCGCCTTTCGTTTCATTTGGTTCCGTTTCGTTTTGAGTAGACAAGTCTATTGGCCTGGCCAAAAACTAATGATGATGATGCACTGCACGCATTTGCACTATTTATAATTTTGTGAAGGCAGCAAGGCTCTAGCCTCTGACTCGACTCTGACTCTGACTCCGCGTCCGACTCCACCTCCAACTACAACGGCAAGTCGTTGTCTGTGGCACATGTGTCTGGCGAGTGCCAAAAGATCAATGATCAATCCTGAAGCTAGTGGAGCTTAGACTTGATGACTTGACTAGCCAGCCAACGTCGGCTTTGGGAATTGAGTGAGAGCACAGACAACTTCATTTATTTGCAGATACATTTCAGGCGCCCCCAAAATACAGCCTCATCCTGTGGCAGACATCATTTGGGATTTTTTTTCCATATATATATATATTTTTTGTTTTTGTTTGTGCCTTTTGGCCAAACAAGTAACTCCTTTGATTTGGTGGGTTGTGCTCGCGTGGTGCATGTGTAATCAGTTATTCGTTATTTTGTTGCATGATTAATGCCCGAAATTAGCGAACTGAAAGTCGTTGCAACATACCACAAATGTTGCACAAATGACTTAGTCAACGAACTTGAACGAACTTCAGAACACAACACAACAATTACACTAGTTTTGGAAAACAGCGCACTTCCTCTCGGCACTGATGATGCTTTGGCTAAAAGAAGACAAAAACATGCATCAGAAGTCATTATTTCCGCCCGCCGTAACTAGTGCTACAAACAACTGGCTAACCTTGACAAAAATCCTACACAGCTGAATGCATTAGTAGTTCAAAAAAGCAACAAGAAAAATAGGCGAAAAAAAACAGCAAACTAACTACTTGCAAGTCAAAAGCAAAGTACCGACAAAGTACCGAAAACAAAACGCTATTAAACTTCTATTATTTAAGTACCACATTGTGCACTGATACTGAAAACGAAAACGAAACGAAACGAGACGAAACGAGACGAAAGCGAAGAAGACCACAAATATAACAACAACAAAAACTGACCGGGTCAGCAAAACGATAATGAGGCAGCATTGTGCTGACTATAAGTCTGTGCAACTCCCCCTGCCCACACCCCTCCGATACGAGACTCGTCGTGCTCGAATCTCGAATCTCGCGTACTGTCGACTGTAGCTAACAGAGCATAAATCCCAAAGCCAAAGTACTTTGCAAATTATGCAATATTATGTAATTACACAGACAATTCAGCAACGCAGCTAACTCATGCTAGAGAGGGACGGTGTCGGGCCGAGCTGAAAATACTGCTAAGCAAAACGCAGCGAACTCACCAAAGTATATTACTTGATCTCTCGCTTTTTGCGTATGCTTGTGAAAAGCGGCCGGAGAAGCTGAAATGTGAAAATGATTGAGCGCATTATTTTCAAATTAGCGCGTGGCTCTCTGCAAGATAAGACAAAACGGGGGCGGAGGTGTGGGGCTGGGCCACTAAAGTGCTCTGTCAAGTACTTCAACTCCATGCTTCGATAACGAACACTTTTTTATATGGGCATAGTTAAAAGCAGGCGGGTGGCCTTGGCGAAGGTGTTTCTTTTAAATCGCGGGCTCGTTGAAAGAGGTAGAAAGAAAAAGAGAGAGAGAGAGAAGGAGAGGGGCATAGACGAAGTATTCGAATATATATTAAACTGGATGGTTGAGGAATAATCCCTAATTCCTAAGTAGAATGTTTTATTCACGCCTTGACTATAACAAATATAGCAAGAGTTGCTTCTACTTACATTAA